TGTGTGTGTGTGTGTGTGTGTGTGTGTGTGTGTGTGTGTAGACAGAGTTTCTCTGTATAGCCCTGTCTGTTCTGGAACTGGTTCTGTAGACCAGGCTGGCCTTAAATCCAGAAATCCACCTGCCTCTGCCTCTTGAATACTGAGTGCTGGAATTAAAGGTGTATGCCACCACCCCTCTCCTCCCCACTCCCCACCCAGGTGATTTTACATTTCTAAAGATCAAAGGTCATCCTTTCAGGACCACAGCACACTGTTTTATCATAATTATTAAAATATATGGAAAAATGACAGAATATGTTTTTTTAAAAATTCAAGAGCAGATAACATTAAAACAATGGCAATATAACTGAACTTGAGAAGAATATAAAAAGGGTATCTCTGGCATCCAACCAAATACGCATTCTAAACATTTAACAGAAAAATGATGGTGATTTTCTAAAATAATTATCTTAATTATGCTCTTGAGTTTTCAAATACACTTACCCCTCCAAACTCATGGTTCTTTATCTCTAGACTTCATCACAGGTCAAAATTATCCAGGAAAACCTGTTTTATCCGAATGCCTCAGCCTTCTTTCTTGTCACCACTGTCTACATAGCACTATATGGTAACTACTCACACCACATGCACACTCAGCCTGGAGGAGACCGATGCTGGGCACTGGTGCTTACAAACACCATAGCATCTGATGTGCAGTACAGTGTATCTGTGGGCTGAGGAACCCGCCCCCTCAGATGCTATGGGTGACCATGCTTGGCCATTTATATGCACTTGCTATAGCTACACATTTTCCTTCATCTTGTTGATTATCATGTAAGTTTTAGAAATTTTGTACATTAGGCATTACATCAAAGCAGTTTCCTGACCAAACGGCAATGTAGTCTCCATCCCCTGAACTTTCAGTTAGCGCCACAGTTACTAATTTTCCATGAGAGTCCCACGATGCCTGTGTTATAAACATACACCTCATAAACATCTCATGCCCACAAGGAAGGAAACACAAAGCTCCCCGTCATGGAGGTAGGCCAGCACTATGAGAACACAGGCAGCACAGCTCTCAGAAGCTTCAGCTGTAAAACTCCAGCTATTCTCCACCACGTTTGTATTAAGACTTTTTTTTTTTAATCTTTCTGCATTATTACCATGTAAGCAGAGACTCCAAAGAGAAAACATTCTTCCCTCCTTTTGGAAGAAACAAAAATAAAATGTTGGCTTTTTACATCAGTGCAATTTAATACATGAATTGAAGGGGATAATTCTTTTAGAAGGTGCATTCTTTCCCACACCAAATTGGACCATATATATTATCAAATGATTCTACCACCATAGTTATGGGAGAGTGCTTTAAAATTATACATCAAAGAAATAGTTCTGCTAAAACCCCTCTTAATGGGAACTGCATTAGCCAGAACTGCTGTCAAAGTAATAGCCTAGCAGAAAGAAGCACTCGCCTCTACAGAGACTGACTGACTTTGACAGGTGTGTGTATGCTGGAGATAGCATAAAGCCATATAATTCTACAGATACCTTATTAGATAGACTGAGTGTGAGACGAAAGCGTAGGTGCGATGCTCAGAAACGTATCCTGTCATCACTGCCTGAGCGATCTTTCCACAGAGGAGAAGGAGCCTTCACGGCGAGCGGACCTGAGGGCACTGTGCTAGTAAACAGGAGTACAGATGCTGCACCTAGTTCTCCATGCTGAAGTGATTTCTTTTAAAAATACCTTAAGTTCTAAATCCAATGCTAAAACGAAGACTCAACAACACAAAATGAACTTATTTTGCTGCAAAATAAAATGTAAGAGTTTGACTTTACAAAGAAAAGCCAGTGACATGTCTCTGTGAGACATCCCATAACCAGGAGATCTCTACAGGAGTAAGTGTCCCATAATGGCAGGACATGGTCCTCATTAAAAACAGAGGAGTCCTATAATAAAGAACCCTTACTGGACTTCACTGAGCTCTTTTTTTTCCAATCCCAGGACACAGCCTTTCCTGGGTACTTGACCTACATAATCCTTATTATTTAGCTTAGTTATTCCTCACAGCAACTCTAAAAAAATAGCCACTACTGTTGAACTATGCTACAGTTACTAAGTGACAGGCTGGAGTGTAAAGCCAGAATATTCTGCCAGCTTTACCTTACCCTCTAGGCTGCTTCTTTGTCAGAACTATTAAAATCCAAAGAACTGATGCTCTACAGAATTCTTGCTAAGCTGACATCCAATAATTTGTATTTATACAGGTATGTATTATGGGAGGGGTAATTTCACAGGAACAGTATAAAGAAATATAGGCCAGTGAGATGCTCTGCAGGCAAAGGTGGCATGGCCACGCCTGACAACCTAACTTCAAAACCCAGCACCCATATATGGTAGAAGAGAACCGACTCTTCAAAGTGGTCCTCAGACCTCAAAATGTACACTGAAATACATATGTGGCCATATACATACATACACTAAATAAATGTAATTTTTAAAATTTAAAGAGTAACGAAATAGAAAAAAAATCTCTAAAGTTGACTATATGTTTTGTTATAGGATTTCCTCCTTTTTAAAAACCTTGCACAGCTGGCTAGCATTTATTAGGTGTTGTCTATAGGCCAGGCTAGTGCTAGTTTCCCTAGGTTATCCCAGCAGACCCCTTAGAGCCCCATCCCTTTAAAATCACAGCTGTGTCCACACGGAGGAGCTATGTGCAGAACCGTCTTTACTACGTCTGGAAAGTTCACTCTCATGAAGGAGAGATGTCAGTGAGGTGCAAGCATAGGACCAAAGCCATTTCCAAAGGATGGACACAATGTCACCTTTTGCTTCCACTGTGACTTCTGCCTGATCGGAGAGATGGCACTGATGCTCCAACTACTGGGCACAGACCAAGGCGACAGGGCTATCTGGGTTACTACTGTTACTGTACTTTCTACAGTGTTTTAGAAAATCAGTTTCACACAAGAATGTCCCTGAAGCAGCACAGAAGGCACTAACTGAATAAATTCTAAGCTCTTGGGCACAGGTTGCATCGATAAGTTTGTACACTCAGATACAATGGTTACTCAGAAAAAAGGTACTTCTCTAGGTTTCCGAATGATAATTTGTACCAACTCCTTGATCTCACAGAGCGCCGTTATACTTGAAAGAACTACCTGACTGCAGTTCTGTGGCTGTTCAGGTTTGGAGCTGTATTTGGCAGATATTTCCTTACAACAAATATACTGTTTGTTATACTCCTAACAGCATCTGGCCTTTCAAGCAAAGATGAAACTTGAGAGGCGTGCTGAGGCACTCCTATGGCCATGTGAGCACAGCTTTATTTATGTGGGCTCTGAGGATGCAAGTCAGGTCGTCAGGCACAAGCACCATACCTGCTGAGCCATGAGTGATTGCTCTTAAGGGACCTGAGTTTTCATTTTTTGTGTGCCTCCCACCCCCATCTCTCTGCTTGGTTTAAAACTAAGCATGGACTCAGTGCAGAACAGAAGGAGGGTTCCTTGAAGCTCTGGAAAGGAGAACATTCCTGCTTCTAGGAGAGTGTTCAGAGTTCAGCTCCTTCTCCTCCTGAGCAACGGGATGAGGATGTGCAGCCTGGAACTACGGCAATGACTCTGACCTCAGAGGAGAGCCTGAGCAGAGGCAGAGGAAGCCAGGACCCAGCGGAGCAGCTGAAACCAATGGCACTCTACCTCTGCACCATGCAGACAGCGTAGCTCAGACTGCTGGAACCACTCTCAGCTGGGGAGTCTACTATTTCCAACAGGAAGACTTCTAAGATCAAAGACTATTAAACTAAAACCTCACCAGTGAGTACAGAGGTAACCTTGGAATACTGAAGGACGTAAGCATGCCCTGTGGAGAGGCCACCACTGTGCATTACCTTCTCGGTGTTCTTGTACCTCTCCCATCTTTTCAGCATTTTCAGCCACTTGGAAGTCCTTTCGATTTCCAACTGCTTTTGCTAAAACAAAATTCAAATCTAATGTTACTGTTGGAAGTTTCTTTACGTATAAATCACAATGTAACAAAACCAAAGAAACAGTTTGAAGTTTCACTGTACCGGAGCTGTGCCTAACTTGTTTGTAGGCTGGTTTGTAGATGCCACTAGCATTGACTGCACTGAAAAGCTGAAGCTATGAATTGTACATAATGCCTCATGAGTGAGAAGACAGCGAAAGAGCACGTTTGTGGTTTCTAGTATTTTAAAGACAATCAGAGAAATCCTATGTATACTACAAAATATTTTATAAGAAAAATTTGAAGTATTTTGCAAAGCAAAAAAAAAAACCCCTATGAATTTTAATTCTCTTTTATTTAATTTTACTAAATTCTAGCAAATGTTTTTGATAGCTAAGTTGGTTTTTTTTAAAGAATTCAATTTAGTAACTATGTAATTAATATGTAACTAGCTCCATGGTAGAGAAACAATGTACAAAAGTAAGTCACAGCTGTCACCCTGAGACTCCTCATGGGCTAACACAGAGAGACAGGCCATGGCAGGTGCTGAGAGGAAATAAGGCTGGTGGCCAGGTCACATGAAAAAGTTATCAAGGACCCTACATGAGGAGCTCAAAGATTATGATGGGATGTCTGGTGATGTGTGTACATGTGTTTCCAATACCATGCAGCACTCTCTCTAGGGAGCTGACACAAGAGCTCTAAGAAGGAATAAGACTACCATGGGGGATGTGTAGCAAGGTTAAGCACTGAGGCAAGTTACCACAGAAAACGCTTTGTTCCTCTCTTTCTGGGGTTCCAGGAAGGGAAATACTTTTTCCCTAAGTGTCTGGGCCTGAGAGTGTAGTAACTATGTGATAAAAGAAATAGAAAGAGCAACCTGCCCAGGAACGCAACCGTCTACAGACTGCTTACACTCTGGGTGTGTGCGCTCGGCAGCCTCCGGGGCAGGCCTGCAAGTGAGGACGCAGATATAGAGCGCCTGAGGGACACTATATACTCTGTAAGGGCAGAGGCACTCACAGCAGGTGCCTGTGCCCTGCAGTCACTCTCTTCTCTCTCCAGCTGCCATCCTGTCTTCTCTCTCAGTCCTGTTTCCTGGAGGAAAACTACGGCTCCTCACTGACTGGCCCCACTCCAGCCTCAAACAGGCAGGCGGTACACTGGCAGATGGCACACCCACCACCAATAATTTTAGATCTGAAAGCATACATTCCCCCCTAGGAAAACCCTGAATTTAGGAAAAGATTGTCACCAATGAGAATTTTTTACAGAACTTACCTTTAGGTGTATTCATAAAACTCTATAATTAATTTCTAACTCTTTAAAGTTTTTATGAGTTTTTATAATAAAAAAATTACTTGTAAGCAAAAGAATGTTAATTCCCATTCTTCGAAAGGCTAAACAGTCCTTATTATATTATCAGTGATAAAATGATGCAGATGGGTCCAGAAATATGTTTAATTTTAAAAACTCAGTGAGGCACTGAAATCTAATTAATGTTTTACTAAATGTGACTTTAGAGAAGGGCAACCTGTAAAGAACCAGAGAGTGCACTGTCGCTATTTGCTGTGCTGTTGTTACTTCACATCCTTTCTCTGACTCTCTGAAGCACAATCCCCTCCTCTACCAACAGGAAAACACCCAAATAACACAAGTCAGCAAAGATGACCACACAGTCAGCCAGGGCGGCCAGGCGGGATCCAGAGGTCTCTTGCTAACTTTCACTTTTATTACTATGAATTACCAATAGATCACTTGAGGAAGTAGCCATTTCTTTTTTAAAGATATATTTTGTATATTAATGTTTGCCATAGATTGGTTTAAATGTTATGTATCCTGAAAGAATAAGACATATAAACACCATTTTCAGAACCATTGGGGATGCTTCTCTTTCTTCTGTACATATAAGAAATTATGGCAGAATTGGAGAGATGTCTCAGCGGTTAAGAGCACTGGCTGCTCTTCCTGAGGTCCTGAATTCAATTCCCAGCAACCACATGGTGGCTCACAACCATCTGTAATGGGATCTGATGCCTTCTTCTGGTGTGTCTGAAGACACCTACAGTATACTCATATACATAAAATTAATAAATAATTCTTTTTTTAATAAGAAAAGAAATTATACCTTGGATAATCTCCTACTGTCAGAGTTTAAACTTCTGTGTGAGTTGAGCTCCACAGAGAGTGCTGACTCTGCAATGCTGTCACTTCGACTACACCTGACTTGAATGCCCCTCCAAGTAACCCTCTCCACACCAGTCAGTAACTCCGAGTTAAACCCAAATATACCAAAGCTGACTGTTCCAACAAGTATTTTGAAGAAATAACTGAAAACATATTTGACAACTGTGAACTTAAGTGCCCCAGAAAAAAATGCTACAGAGCATCAATAAGTCATGCACTCATTTGCAACAAACTAAAAGTAGAATATAACCGTGTAACAGGATTCCTACCTGAGATGGTAACACTTTCAACTCAAACCTGTCTGTCCTGGACTGTACTCTCAACACATATCATACTTCCGTGACTCTGACCAAGGTTTGTTATTTTTCTGCCTGTGGCAAGATACTCAACCATATAGGAGACAAAGCTCAGAGTATAACTGCGAGGGAGTTCTAGATTAGGCTAACTAAGGTTGGTTGGGGTCTGGAATATGAATAAAAAAGGAGAAAGTGATTGGAGTTCCAGGATCCATCTCTGCTTCCTGTGGATGCCATGTGACCAGGTGTGTGTGTGTGTGTGTGTGTCTATGATGATGCTGAAGACTGTACTCAGGTCTCACATACTGACCATAGCTATGTTATAAACCCTCCATTAATCCCCCACAGTTATGGAGTTTAGACAGCTTTCCAGTTGGTGATCAAGAGATTCTCATACTCAAGGTGAGCAAGGGATCTCTGTGCCTCTGTCCCTCACCCCATGTATACTATTCCATCTGGCTGCTCCTGAGAGGACTGTTTTTAGTAAATGGGTCTAGTAAGTGGAGCACTTAAGTTCTGTGAGATGCTCCAGCAAACCCAAGCAGACATGTGACCCCCTGATTTGTACACCATAGGTTAAAATCATCTGGGCTTGAGAAATCTAACAGTGGAGACATGGAACCTGAAGAGGCCACCTCCTGTAGCCAGGTCGGACCCCAGTGGAGGGATAAGGACACCAACCCACCCATAAAACTTTCAACCCAAAATCTGTCCTGTCTAAAAGAAATGTAAGGACGAAGATGGAGCAGATTCTGAAGGAATGGCCAACCATTAACTGCCCCAACTTGAGACCCATCCCATGGGCAAGCAGCAATCCCTAACACTATTAATGATAGTGTTCTGTTATGCTTACAGACAAGAGCCTAGCTTAACTGCCCTCTGAGAGGCTCTACCCAGCAGCTGACTGAAACAGATGCAGAGACCCACAGCCAAACATAGGACAGAGGTCAGGGACCCTTATGAAAAAGTTGGGGGGAGGATTGAAGGTCCTGAAGGGGATAGGAAGCCCACAGGAAGACCAACAGAGTCAACTAACCTGGACCATGGGAGCTCTAAGAGACTGAGACACCAACCAAAGAGCATACACAGGCTGGACTGAGGCCCCAGCACATATGCAGCAGAAGACTGCCTTGTCCTGCCTCAGTGGGAGAGGATGTACTTAATCCAGAGACTTGATATGCCAGGCGGGAGGATACCCAGGGGCAGGGCCACCCTCTCAGAAGTGAAGAGGGGTGTGAGAGACTCTGGGAGGGAAGGACTGGGAGGGGGGCAGCATTTGGGATGTAAAGAAATAATTAAGAAATCCAGCTGGGCTCTCAATTTGCTACTAAGCTGCAGGTCTGTAACAACTGTCCACTGGAGGAACTGCTTGTTTCTGGAGAGAAACTCAAACATCTGAGGTGCTCCATACTGCGTAAACTATTATGACAGTGGTACATTTTGGTTTCCCCCATGTCATACAGTAAGAGCATGTAACTTGCTGGGAGTCACCCATGCCTGGATCTCACCAGCAGAGGTCAGAAGAGGATAAGAAGTACAGGAAACCTTGCCATTGCAGTGTGCAGTCACCAACAGTAAACCTTGAGGCTGGGTAAAATGAATGTGTACTTTTAGAAGAAATAGAGGGCTAGTCAGAGAGCTAAGAGAAAAACACTGGCCAACCAACCATCAAACCTGATAACTGGAGCCTGATCTCCAAGACTCCCATGCTGGAAGATGAGAACCAACTGCTATAAGTTGTCCTCTGACCTGCATATGCCCATCCACAGTGGCGCATGTGCATATATGCATGTGTGCACACATAAATAAATAAAATAAAAAATTTTACAATGGAAGGCTTTCATATTTTACATTATGCAAAATATTGCATTACATTTCACAGCTTTATCTATGAAAATTCATAGTTTTATATAACCTTTCCTCCTTATTAAAAACATCAATAAGCTCAAGGAAATAGTATAATCCATTATTAATATTGTTCTCGACAGTATAAATATAATGAGTGTGTTTGTTTATTTGTTTAAGTGCCTATTTGGGGGAACCCAAATCATTCTGCAAACACCACATTAATCCTTTTATGAGGCAGGATTACTGTCCCTATTTTAAACGGTGAATGGCCTCCTATAAAATAACAGATGGGCAGAGCCATGATTACCTGACAAGACAGGGATCAGTACACTACACTTCCTAAGCACCAAAAAGCACAGCTTCAGCTGCATGCTTTGCAGAGTGTAAACTTCAGCAAGGCAACAATTTGTCTTGATCTAACTCAATGAAAACGTAGATAAATTTTTATTACATGTCTAGCAATGGTAGAGCTTGGCTACTATGTATAGGTGGACAATACAGAATGCTAGTTTCTAACCTTAGACTACTTTGCATGAGTCTAAGTTTACATACACACACACACATGTGTGTGTGTATATGTGTATGTATGTATGTATGTATGTATGTGTGTGTGTTTTTATATGCAGGCCATAGACCTGGTGAAATAACAGGCAGAGTCAGAGCCACAGGTTACCAAGCCTGACAACTTGAGTTCAATCCCTAGTACTCTGGTAGAAGCAGAGAACCAACTTCCACATGTATGCTGTGAATACACTACACACACACACACACACACACACACACACACACACACACACACACA